CACTGAAAACATTCTCAAATGCAGAGGGCAAGGTGCGGTACCACCCAGCTTCATGTAGCAGCTGCATTTGCTCCATAATATTCCTCTATAGTGAATGGCTAGAAAGGAGGGAATCTGGCCAACAGAGACTTTTTCCAAAGGAAGCACGACAAGGCTACTCAGTTACATTAGGTGCTGAATTTACTCATCTCTCCTTCCAATTTTATTTCCTCTCATCAAGAATGATCTGCATCAGTGAAACATAAGCAGAATTTTATATAGCTTGTTTATCTGATTTGAGGTTGTTAGTTTTTCCTCAAATTAAAGATAATGTAAATAAAAGTGAGTTCTATATCTTGAGTCAGTGTGTGGAATTCTCTTAACTTTCCCAGAGAGAAAAGGAGGCTGGGACTCCACAGTAGGGAAGCTGTCGAAAAGAACTTGGTAATGAGGTTTGGAGAGGAAACATTAAGCTTAGGTATTTTTGGTAGCTATTTAAATTCCTAGCAGAGGGAATAAAACTAAATATGGGTAAAAAGTGTATGATGGGTATTTTGGAAGGATTTGTAGCATCATTTAACAACAGAAGAGCTGAAATAACAACATTACTCCGAAATACACAGAAGTTTGCAATATTTAACTTTGTGCCAATTTACACAAAAAAATGACCTTACAAGGAAATTTGTTATGAGACACCAAATTTGTACAAAACTGTATATATGTCTTTAGAATTTCAAATTAAGTTCATATGCATTTTCCAAATGAAGCTTCAAGCCATCATGTAGCCCAATGCAGCAGCAATTTCTGGCAATCTTAAGGCTTCAAAGCAAAGCACCATTGAAGAAAACACATATCCATAAAGAAATATATCCAGACAAGTCACAAATAGCTCCAGAGAGGGAGATCTCACAACATCTCTAAACATACAACAAATTTCTGGTTTTGAATGGTGATATTCATAATTAAAAGCACATTAAGGATGATCTAAGAGTGTTACGATTGCAATCAGCCATGTAACCAGCCTAAGTCCTATGTTAAAGTTCAAAAAAATGATTACAGAAAAGCACATTAAAACTATAGTTTCTCAACCTTACACGTAACTCCTGTTCTAAGGAATTCGGCATGGTTTTACAGACAACCGAAGTTCCTAAGAAATTCTTAATCCAATTTTTATGGAAAAAAAAAAAGGAAGCTGCAATTCTTTATCATGATAATTCATTTTCCACAGTTAACAGTATTATTATAATATACTGTGGTTTTTTTTTTTAAAGACATTTACCTAGCTCAAACCCTGGCAGTACCACAGCACTACGATCAGTCCCATTAATTTGTTTCTGACAGATGCTGTCTTCCAGCACGAAGCTCTGTTATTCTTCAAAGAAAAGCCCAGTGACCCCACTGAAACTTCTGAAGAGGAAGCAAGCTTGGTACACTGACTTAAGCTAGGCCATACACACAGAAACATGAGAAATCTCATACTAGAGGGGACAAGAACAAAACCCTCCTATATTTTATTTATGTATATGTATATCTACGAATGAACTTGAACGAGTGGTTACTTACAAAGCGCTACTGTAGCTATAAAATAATCACCTTACACCTAAATTTATTTTACCTGCAATAGTTTTCAGTTTAGTTCCAACCTGCACTCTGATTCAGAATTTCAAACCTTACTGCAGCCGACTTACTCCTCACGCTTCCTCCACAGCAGCCATCTGGCCTCTTCCCAMCTCATGCAAGCTGCCATCACTCATCCCTTTCTCTCCTTCAATGCCTCCTGAGACTAAATTAGCCAGTCTAAAAAAAACCTCAACTTCTCGTGAGCAGGAAGAACAGGGAAGGCAGTGCAGCAGAGAGAGATCTGCTGCAATCAGTTCCAAATCTGCCCCTTCTACTGCACTGAAGTAGAGGTCTACACCTTCCCAACAGATGCAATAGTGCATCTCTACGTACATACACGTCGTCGTCTCCAGCTCTGTTCTTAGTGAGAATCATTAAGCCATCCCGTTTCCTCCAGGAAAGACAGTGACCTGAATGGAAGAAAGCCAAGGATGCCTACAGGGTGATACCATTAATTAGCCTGTAACAGTAAGAACTGTAATCTTTCCTTTTAAGAAATCTCACACTGAATTGATTGTTTGAGGTCTGTATTCCTTTCTCCTTCTCCCAGCACTTAAAACAAGAAGACAGATGATTAACAGTAATTATTAGATACATGCCAGTGAGGATGAAGTGACTTATATCACTTCTTTCCATCATTATATCAGATCAATTACCTGATTTAATTCTGCAGATAAAAAAAAATGCAGAATTTGATTATTTAAAACTAAGTATAACATTATCTCTAYGAAACCCTTTTTTGACCGGGGTATATATCGTAGTCATTCATTCAAGCTGTTAAATAGCTCCCCACGTTTATTCAAATGCTGTAACTATTATTGGGTGAGAACTCTTTCTTAAGAAATCACTGTTAGTGGTTATTTTTTATTCAGGATCTTATATCAAGCTGCTCCTGGAAGAAAGCAGGGATTGCTGAAGACGACAAATGCTCATTATCTCTATTTTTGTTTGCTCAGTGTTATCCAAGCTACAGAAGGAAAACAAACAAAATAAACTGTGTCTTTTATTCAAATCTGCCTTATTTACTTACCAAAGCAGTTCACTGCTAGAGGGCAGTGAACTGATTGCTCCTAAGCCTTATTACCATCTCACATTTTGGCATTTAACATCATAAATCAGCCTGACTGGATCACCCCACACCAACAGGTTCCCCAGGTGCACAGCCACCTCCTCCTTGCCAGCAGTCCCCATAGGCTCCTGCCTTACTTACACATTAGGAGAGCAGGGGCTGCTTGGTGCTGCTGCCAGCACCAAGGGCTCTTTCCCTGCACAGTCCCTCCCAGCTTCATCCAAATCTGTGCCGCTGAAGCCTTGCCCAAGCGCTGGGCCACCAAAGCAGGAGGAGGAGCAGAAGGGCAAGACCCTTCCTCTTCTACATGCACCTGTATCCTCACCTTCTGGCCGGGTCACGGCGGGCAGAGACAACTGCTACTTGCACAATAGTCACCTCTTGACACCAGCACATCTAGGAATGCAGCCAAAGTGCCAACAACGCAGATACAGGATCATTCTTTTTCTTTAAGCAATGATTTCCAAACTATGGTGCATGGGTAAGCTGCATGGCTGATGAATTCTTCAGGTGAAAGTCTCAAGCAGGTGCATGGAGAAGCATGGCTTGTCTTCAGGGCAGTGAATGATTCACTGGTTCAAAATACACTCAGATGCCTTAGCTGAGAGGAAAGCTTAGCATGCTATATTAGACACACAGCTAACTGAAGAAATAAGTCATACTGTATTTTGACATTCAAATGCCAGTTACATGACATTTCCTTTAAAGAATGGAAATAAATTTGCACTTGTTCATATTTTTGAAAAGCAGCATTTTTCATATTAAGTGTGAAATACCTTGTCAGAAATAGCACTGTTTACTCAGAAAACATGCAAGTCTTTACTGTAAGAAAGTGAAGATTAAATCATACTGGGGAAGTGCCTAAAAGGTACAGCTGAGATCAGGACCCCAAAGTGTTAGGTGCAGCACTCACACACATCTCTTTTCCTCTAATGACACATACAGAATTAAGCAGTACAGCTTCAAAGCAGGAATGCAGATAATGCAACACAAAGACAATCTATTCCAGTATGGAATCAGACATACAGGAAAAGAAATAAGCAATGCTAGGCTAGAAATCTTTTTACCCGTGTAAATCACAATGAGGTTCTACGAGTAATAATATTTTTTAAAAAGGGGGAAAAAAATCAAGAAGCCTCTCCAAAACAAAACCCCAAAGTAAAAGTAAGCACTAAATTAAGGCAGAATGGTGCCAGACTTGAAGGTGAATTATGAAAACTTTGAGGTATCTATTCCTTTGTTGTATCATTTATCAGAAGCTGCAGGCAACATTTCAAATTACATCAAAAATGAAGTCAAACATATTCTTTAAAACTTGCTAATAAATTCATATCCATCTGCAATCATGCCAAGCATAGCCTTAATATCATCTTGAATTACCCTGCATTACAGCAATGTTAAACATTCATGAGAGTAAGTACTTCAAGAGCTTTCCAGGTGAGAAATAGGTATGAGTGCGCAAATATTGATGTTTTGCTGCACTAGAAAAGATTGAACACACCCTTCTGTTCCATGCAACTAGTCAAAACCCCTTGGCCTGTTATTTGTGATTATTATTCTTCATTAAAATTGTCCTTAGGAACRGTGGGAAACAAACTGGAACCCAACCATTCTCAGGTGCGGACACCTCTGACTTATCACTGCAGTTTCCTGCTGTTTTCAGCATGCTCTGTCTTAACGCACATAAGCACTTACAAGAAGGCCTGCGTTTTGATTCATGTATCACGCACCGGCAACAGGATGCGCACRCTTTCTAACCCGCACGGCCAGGCAGCAACCACAGCGGGCGTGCAGAGGCTTGCTAAGCGTGCTGGGCGCAACGCTGCAGCGCTGTGCACGGCGGCTACCGCTCTCCGCTTCTAAAGGCGCAACTTCCAGGTGAAGATAAACCGCGAGGATCATTGTGGATACCAGCAACCAAGGCCACAACGCAGCGCACCTCCAGCCTCAGCCCGGGTGTCAGCCACGCCGACACGTGCTGSGAAGCGCAAGCTGGCCCAGCACCGGAGCAGGCGGGGGGACACCCCGAGCAGCGCCGCGGGGGCTCGGGGGGCGCCGCCGGGACGCGCGGCCCCGCTCCTCGGGGGGCTCGCTCGCCGCCAGGCCCCGCACGGCCCCGGCGGGAAGCCCGAGCCGCGGAGCCGCCGCGCTCCCTCGCCCCCGGCCGTTAGGGGAGGAGCCCCCGCCGCCCCTCCCCCCCGCAGCCGTTGGGGGCTCGCGGCCGCCCCTCCCCCCCGCAGCCGCTGACCGTTACTCGGTCACGCAGCGGCCCGGAAGCGGCTCCCTGCTCGCCCTTCACTGGGAGGCGCGGGCGGCCGTGGCGGGCACTGACCGTCGGGGTCCGCTCGCCGGCGGGCGGGTCGCGTC